AACATCCTAACCTGAGGGTTTTTCCTTATGCCACCATCAAAAATGTAAAATTCACCACTATTGTGACATAAATTTTATTATTTTTTGTAATTCAAATCAGCAGTTATATAAATATAGTCTAAATGTTATACGAAAGATTAAACGGTGGATGAAATATATTGAAAAACTTTTTGAAGACAACTGAACGATATTTCCAAGAACCAGATATATCAAAATTGGAAATTCAATATGCCTCGAAAAATATGAAAAACGAAAAAGCGCCTGGACTTGATACATTCACAATAAACATTATACAATTAATGAATGCGGAATATATAGACACACTGAAAGACTTGAATAGCGTTTATAGAACTGGCATAACACCACAAGAATGTCTCACATCGACATTTATGGGGAGGTCTCGGAAGAACACAAGCGCTGTTTGCGTACAATATATTGACACATCGATTTATAGACGTAAAATAAGATATCTATATATTATTTATTGATTATAACAAAGCATTTGACAAAGTGAGATATGAGCAACTTATTAGCATTAAAGACAAAAACAGATATTACAAAGACATACGAATAATCACCAAACTTTATACCCAAGGAGCTACATTACAAATTGAATAAAATTGTAGCAAAGCTAGTATAGGTCTTCGAGTTTTATGAGACAAACTAATTTTCAAAGAGATATAATTTATAGAGAAATAAGAATGAAACTTATATCCATTAACGATTCAAAAATTTCAATTTATACATGAGAGATATAGGGAGCTTCAGACTAATTTTTCTAGATAGTTATTTGATAACATAAACGATGATCCACTTTTTATAAAAATATGATTTTTATTAATAAGTGTATATTTATCCAGACATGAATCATAAATATTCATAATTTGCATGAACGGAGAGAGGAAAACCTTTCTTTTAAAACGTAAAATATATCACCAAACACAAAAGACACCAAAAGTTCAGTGAACATTTGAACTGGATTATTAAATAATAATGCACTCGGTCCAAATATTCTACCTAACCGACTTAAATCAGAGAACTTTTTTAAATCACAAATTCCGCGACTGCTGGATTGCAAAAGGTAATCTCGTATCTTTATAGCCTCTTAGATTTCCGAATCTAAACCCTTTATATTTTTCGGTTGAAAATCTTGAAAAAAAGGTTAATTCAGATCTATTAAGTGTAAGGGAGATGAAGTAGCTCATATTCACGCTTCTAATTTATTTATAAATAAGAATGTGGTACAGAGTGTTCGTGAATCAATGATATCTCTCTTGCTCTCTCTCTTTTTAGTCCTAATGCAGTCAGATAATCTGCAGTCAAGGATTTGGAGCAAAATAACAAACTGTTTTACACAAACAAACCACAATAAATCTTTTTACATCATGACTACCTGGTTTACGTACACTTCTGCTGTTGTCATCGTGCCATGTCATCATTTTATTTCCCTAGAAAAAGTCCACGTTTCGTCTAAAAATGCAACTTTGTGGATATATACTATTTCTGTTTTCCATGTATTTACGTAAGAAACACGCTCGTTGTGTTACGAAACGAGTTATTTCAATTAAAGCTCTTCGATGATCATCTTTTTTAAATTTAAAGCCCAAATCTTTTAATATTTTACTCAAGGATATTTTACTAGTAGAAACAATTTCTTCAGCCTGCAGCTCAATGATCAACGCTTCACAGGTTACATGTTTTTCTAAAAAAATATTTATTTTAATATATTAGTATAAAATATTAAGTCCTACTCGTAATTCTCGACAGAAAGTTGGTTTACTTACTATCCTGGTACATTATATATTTGATTTCGAATTGCCATTTTATTATAAACAGAATAAAACAAAATTTAATTAAAATTGAAAACTCCATGGTACGACGAAAGAGTGAAAGCACTAGCAAATGAAAAGAAACAAGCTTTCCTAACATATAAAGGTGTGAAGACACCGGAGGCATGAGAAGACTACGTGAGAATCAGGAATAGAGTAAACTAAGAAATAGATAACATCAAACAAGAACCCTGGGAGAAATTTACCAAAGATATGGGATACGACCACTACGGATCCCAAAAAAAGGTGTGGAAGATGACAAGGAAACAAAAAACAATAATGAATGAATTTGTACGCATAGACAATATTACGGAGGAACAATGGACTAAGCATTTCACAAAATTATATGGAGAAGGAGAAGAAGAGAACAGAGAAAGAATCATTAAAGAAACTCACGGTAGAGTACTAATATCAGAAAAAGAGCTACAAAATATGGAGGAACAACAGTACGCAAATGGCTCCTAAAATTATTCGTCGATATAATAAATACCGGAGTAGTATCAGCGGAATGGAAGGAAAGTCTCCTGCTACCGATACTTAAAAAGGGAGATTCGAGAAATCCTAAAAATTATAGAGGCATTAGTCTGATGAATAGTATATTAAAATTGTTAACGGCAGTCATAAAAGATAAAATCTAGGAAAAAACGAACATGGCAGATGAACAACAAGGCTTCCGGAAGAAGCGCAACACAATAGATGTAATTTTTATTATCAGAAAAATAATAGAGAAGTCTATTGAATATGGAAAATCAGCATACATGTGCTTTGTAGATTTAAAAAGTGCTTTTGACAGGGTAAAGCGAGATGACATCTTAAATTTATTACAAGCTGAACAAAAAGACCATCAAATGATAAGGACAATTAATGAAATTAACAAAAACAACAAGATCAGAGTTATAATGCCAACAGGAGAAACTGAATGCATAGAACTAAACGGAGGAATCCGCCAAGGAGACTCGCTCAGCCCATTGTTATTCAATATGGTGATGAATCAAATAATTCACGAAGTAAGAAAACGATACGGATACCACATGGGAGCGCACAAATTCACGATACTATGCTATGCCGATGATGCAATACTAATTACTGGTAACGAAGATGACCTACAAAGGCAGCTCCACACCTTCAATATCACAGCAAACAAACTTAATATGAGAATATCAGTAGAAAAAACAAAATTTATAGTGATCAGTAAAGAGCCGCGTAGATGCAAACTAGAAATAGACGGCAGAATTGTAGAACAAGTAATGAAATTCGATTACCTAGGAGTAGATAACACTAGTGACAGGGATATAACAACAGAGACCACAAGGAAAGCATCAAAAGCAGCAAGAGTAAGTGGTTGCCTCCGAGAAACCATATGGAGAAACAAATATCTGACCACGGAAAGCAAAATGAAATTATACAAGACAATAGTAAGACCAATTCTAATATATGCAGCGAAGACAAGGACCGATACAAGAAAGACGAAACAACAAATCAATAATATCGAAATAAAAGTATTAAGATCAATAGCGGGCATATCATTAAGAGACAGACAAACCAACAGAAGTATACGTGAACAATGCAAAATTCAAAATATTAACAGGTGGATAAAAACAAGAAAAAAAAACTGGAACGAACATGTAAACCGAATGGGACCAGATAGATTAGTGAACATCTGTAAAAACAACAAACCATATAGCAGAAGACCCGTTGGAAGGCCGCCAAAAAGGTGGAAAGATAATGTACAGTCAACAACGACTGAAACAGAATAAGAGGCAGACAAACAGGAGTAATCCTAGTCGCACGAAGAAGAAGAAGAAAAAGAATTGAAATTGAAAAAACCAAAAATATTAAGTTTTTAATATTAAATATTTTGTTATGTGATAAAGTTGGCAAATAATTAATATTAATAACATATATGCTTGTCATCATTAAAGCTTTTTAATAGTGTACATTTAAAAGTTATATTAGAACAGGCCCCCATTACTTTTTTCTAATTTAAAGTACTCGATTAAATTGAAAACGAGTTCTTGAGCTTGTGAGGTAAGGGTTTTTTCAGACATAATCTAAAAAATTTTAATAAAACATTTTATTTTTGTCATTTTTTTCACTTTTGTAGAAACTTAAACAAAACAATTCCTTAACTCGGTGAATGAGGGTAACTTTGGTAAATTAATGGAAAAATAAAGTACACTTACCATAAAATTTTAAACTCCAATATAAAATTAGTTGTGAAAACAACTGTTTGTGTAATATAAATAACAACTAAATGCAAAAATGGGAACAGTGACAAATCTAACAAACTGGCAGCCACAAGTAAACAAACCAGAAACGTCACAAATTGTACTTAAAATCTGAAAACGTCCCCAAGCGTCTTTTTTGTACCTATCTCTTTTCGACGTACTAAGTCTAGTGCGTTAATAAAATAACATGCTTGTTTACTAAATATCAGTAGTTTAATTATAGTTTTATGCGTGGAAGACAATGATACTAGATAAAAAGTATGTGTTTGATCTCGCCAGGGATTAATAACGCACGGGTAAAACCCACGGACTCAACTGTATTGCACATCTCCAAATATCTATGTCTCTGGTCATTTCTTTTAACTCATGCATGTCTTTTGCATATGCTTGTAATTTGGTCTATCCATCTTGTTGGGGATCTTCTTAGTAATCTTCCGCCTTCTACCTTTCCTTGGATAATCATTCTTTTCATGTTTTCTGTGTCTGCTCTTATAACTGTAGAAAGTATTTTAATTGTTGATCAACCCCATTTTTAAAGTTCGTGAAATTTGAGAGTTCTTTCATATTTTGGCCATCTTTCCTACGGCGACTTTTGCTAGATCACATCTATGTTTTATTTCTTCCTATAGTGACTTGCGTTTCTGATCAATGATCCCAAATATAAATATGAGCTCACAACCTCAAACCGATCAGTCGTGGTCAATTCAATGATAAATCGTGCAAATATTTGCTTTCAAGTAGGTGAATATTTATTTTTATTTACCGATTCATATTTGGAAAGGATACGTGTTAATTTTGAGATAACATATATCAGATTCTAACATTTGTACAAGTCATATCAATGTCAAGTTGACTTTATCTGAATTCCTTCCTAATTATTATATTTTTTTGCTTACTGTAGAATTATCAACGCAAATTTAAAATATAATTGTATATTACAGTTGGCCTAGCTCCTTCTATAGATGCTTTACAAATAACCCCAGTTATCGGAGGCATTAGTGGTAATGGTTCCACAAGCCGGTATTGGGACTGTTGCAAGCCATCATGTTCTTGGTCCTCAATTGTTCCACCTGGTGTAACGCCAGTAACTAGTTGTGCAGCAGACGGAATAACACCAGTGAGTGCAGACGCTAAATCAGGTAAAGCGTTACACATTACCTATCATATTTAAGATGTGATGCCCATTGGTATGTAGCAAATTAACCAAATGAACTCTGAATATACCAAAAGAATATTAGTTGATAGTTTTTGGTATTTGCGTTTGTAATATGAGTTTTTTTATAGGATGTGAAAATGGTACTGCATATACGTGCACAAATCAACAACCATTTGTTGTTAATCAAACGTATGGGTATGGATTTGCAGCTGCTTGGCTAATTGGACCGAGCACATCTAACTTTTGCTGTGCTTGTTTCTTGCTAAACTTTACAGATCAAATCAAATATAAGCACATGGTTGTGCAGGTACGTATTTGTTGTACATTACTACCCATAATATTTTTTCATATTTCCGAATATAAACAAACCGGTTCTGAAACTGTTTTCTTATAGCATATTCAAGTTAAATGGTGGCATCACACCTGTAAGGAGCCCCAAAAAATTCACAAAGAAAATGTACCCCTCGGACAAATTTGCAGCAGCATAGGTTCTCCTTGCAGCAAACTGTTAAAGTTTCTCCTAGAGATAATACAGCCTTTAGTACACAACACAACAACATTTATTAAAAACTCACAATAATTCTTGCAAAAACTAGCAGGAATAGATTACACTTTCAACAATTCGCTAGTCACTTTCGATATCATCAGCCTTTTCACCAATGTGCCACTGAAGAAAACTTTAAAAATAATAGGAGTCAAATTCGAGGGAGATGATACATTGACAACAATAAAAACTGGATGTTTCAGCTATCATGGCACTTTGAACAAACAACACATACTTTCCACTTAGAGAATGTTTTTATTAACAAAATTTTGGATTTGTCCTGGGCTCACCCTTATCTCCATTCAATTCATGAAGGATTTCCAACAAAACATTGTATACTCACAAGACAAACAAAAGTATGGTATAGATATGTAGATAATGTATTCTCTGTTTGGCCTCGCAGATCAGAAGAACTGAATAAACTCCTTATGGACATTAACAGGAAAGAAGAATCAATCAAATTCACCCATCTAAATAGAAAACAATAATACACTTCATTTTCTGGATGTGTTAATCACAAAAAAGAATACAGAATATGCAACTAAAGTTTACACAAAACCAACCCACACCAACAGATATTTAAATTACTACGTATAGTTCGTTGCAAGATATTTCGGAATTTAAATGGTTTCAAATATGAACAATTCACACTGCCCGGAACCTATCATATCAGCCACCTAACGTTTCCATTCAGTATATTCCATGGAAGTATAAACATAGATGGACACAGCAATAATATACCTTTAACACACAATGTTTTGAAGCTTCGATAGAATGTGATGCTTCCGCAATGAGCATAAGCGTGCTTGAATTTTTACTCGCGGGTAATTATTCAGATTTTAAAAATTGGAAGTAGTAATAATGTATAAAAACACGTTCAAAGAATTAAAAAAAAAACGAGAGTTTAACTATTAACAAATCACGTCTTTATAGAAAAATTAAAATACAATTTTATTTGCTTTAAAATTAATACAATTAAATATAGTTGAATTCAAGTTAATTTTTTAATAGTATCAAAATAATGCTACAATAAAAAATCTTTATGTTTTCTCCTTAATTTGCTACCCAAATAGTTCGATCGTCAATATTATTTGGAAACCTACATAGAAAAATATATGAGTTTTATTAATTTCACGAATTTATTTGTATTCATGAGAAATATTAAATTAAAAAGGTACTAAACAGATCTTTTTTAATCAGATGATGTCTACTTATCATTTATAAATGTCTACTAATTTCATGAACTCATATCTTATTCAATACATTAATGAACATGAATAAACCCAATGGTACGCCTATTAAAATGTAAACAAACACGCTTCCTCATTTCCTCATCTTAAATAATGTAAATTATATGCACTTACAAATGAAATGAGAGATCGGGATGTAAATATTTCGTTTATTTTATTTCACTTTTCACAAATATCACTCAAAATACAGCCAAAATATCGAAAAATAACTTTTTCCTCATTTACTGTAAAAAGTAAACAAACATGGAACAGCAGTTGAAGTTTGACGTAGATCCATAAGACAGAGAAATGTAAACAACCGTTGCCATTTATAAATAGTTTTCAGTGCTTCTACATATAAAATAATTCAATATAAGGTTGAATGTTCGAATAAATGAACTTTGATGGTACACAAGGCAAATATCGAACACAGTATTTAATCAAATCTTGCCCAAGTACTTTCGATCACAAGATCATCTTCAGGGGCATTTCGTCAGTTGTGGCCTATCCAGCAGTAACAGAATGTCATAAATGTAAATTGGGACATAACAAATACACTAAACAAAGACAAACAAACACTTTAAAATTTAAAATTGGAGAAGCTACATTTTATATAGAAGCCGGAGACAGAATGATTCGAAAGTACTTGGGCAAGATTTGATTAAATACTGTGTTCGATATTTGCCTTGTGTACCATCAAAGTTTATAAAATAATTGATTGATATCTATTATACGCTATTATTAAATGATAATGCACCTGTAGAGTATAAAATACGGAGTAATATTTTCAGCGACTCGCGAATAAGAAATTTTAAAACAAAACGTGACAACAGTTGAAGGTGCTGAGAAATTCAAATAATTTTGACTTTACAATTTTATGTAAATAACTGAGTCCATCTGTGTTTATACGTCCATGATATATTCGAATACAATATTTTACGGATGCCGACGGCTACGGAACGAGTGGAAACCTATTGGTACGGATAATGTGAACTAGGAGTCGTTTTCCCCTCCTTGTTTATTTAGGTATTTGTTTGATATTGATACAGAGTATTTAAAAAAAAAATAATTTTCGAGGCTATTTTGTCATTTATGCATGTGTTTTCATTGCTTTGAGACAATTAAACATGGAAGTGATAAGTAATTAGGACTTTTGATATGATGCAAGTAAGAAAGAAAATATTTGGAAAAGCGAGAACACACCTTAAGTAAGTTATTCACTGAACACATATGATACATTGTTTCCCGTATAGCTGATAAATGAAAATTTGGTAATACTCGATGGCCGCCATAATCCTTACTTTTTTTTTTTCGCAACACTGGACCATCTTTTATATAAGTTAGTACATAGTGGATAGTGGCACTTGTGTCAAAAAAACCGTTTTTTAATTATTATAATAATTAATCGGTAATTATGATTCCTAATACCGGGCCTAACGTTTTTATTAATATCTGTAATTAAGTTTAATCAATCACTTTGATGATTTTTACATTGGTAGTTGATGTATTCTTAGCACAAAGAAGTAGTAAAATCCAACATACCACGAACAGAAAATGAAATATTCTCGTCGGATGATTTCGCGCAAATGTATGTGGGGCGAGAATACGCCCCACGTGGTATCGAGTGTTTTCACGTTCTACAAATCTGATTTTATCAATTTAGACGAAAGTTTTGGAAAATGGTTACTAATGACTGTGCTAATTACTTGCCATGATGTGCAGTTGCATTCTTTACATATTAGAAGTTAATTGTAATGTGTTTTCTTTATCTTTGAAATTCCATTAGTGCTATTACACAGTGGGAACTTTTATAATTTCCCTATTAGCATATTTTTGTCTAGATTCTTCGAAGCATCACTTTCTAGTTGGGATTGTGTCTCTAAGAATTTATAAAGTGCAATTAGCGCTAAGAATATGTACATCTGATATCTGATAATTGCTAAAACTACCTGTTTATTTGGTGATTTTCTAAATGTGACTATCTTCTGTCTTTGATTTTTAATTTGTTGAATTGGTACTAAACAAAGTTACAAAAAATAAAAAGTTAAAAAAGTGGTAAGACTAATGAGATACATAAAATCCTTGCGCTTAAAAGCGAACCAAACTACTGGGGCGACAAGTCGCCCCACCTGGTACTGGTCTTTTAAAATTCACCCGGTATTAAGAAGGTTAACTAACGAGTATTTAACGAGTACTTACCGTTGTAAACGTTAGGCATGATTTGCTTTGCATCGTGTTAGAGATGAATATAAAAAAACGATTTTCAGGTTCAGACTTGCCTTCACTTCCTGAAATAGTGGCAGGCATGTACAGGACATCGTCACTAATCATTTCTATATCACTTATATTTATAGTTATTACACTGACTTCTGTTCTAAATGGTCGACAAAAGAAAAATTAAATTCTTTTCAAATAAACTTTCTTCTCACAGAAGCCCGTTTAGTGATAATTTGATATTAAGGAAATATTATCCTTTCACCTGCATATAATTCCAAGAAATTTTCTAATCTCTTATAAACACTATTTTTACGTACCTAGAAATTTGTAATTCTGAATTCCAAGTACAAATGAAATTTATTGATTAAATTTAAATAGGTACACAAAATTATGCTTAAAATTTTATTTACCAATCGTTAACAACTCAAAATTGAAATACGCACCTAGCTACACCTACTTTGTATCCTTTAATAAAGTAGCTTTAAACTTTGGATAGAATTTAAAATTAAAACTAATGTAATAAAAGATTAAGGGTGACTATTCGTTACAGCAATAAGGGAGTACAGTCATTTTGTGCTTGATATCGGCCCAGTCTCTTAAACTGGGGAATTACATCCGAATTATTTTGCATCAGATAGTAAACCATAACGTAAATATTAAAAACGGAATTATGAAATCTTTATATGATAGAGCCGACAACGCCTATTCTAATTAAAATGCATTATAGGAAGAAAAAATCTGCTAACAGACGTTTTAAGAAAAAATAATTAGCCATTGTTATTTATAAACAAGAAATTTCATAAGATTGAATAAAGGAAACAACAAAACACCACAAGCAATCCTAAAACACTCATAATAAGGTATCTAAAGATACATTTTAAACAGGATAGGGAACAAAATAAGTATCAGAATAAAAAAGCATGAAACATACATCAAATACAGAGACTTCGATAAATACATAATGCATATACAACACACAATACATAAATATACTTCATCTAATTTACATACCGATGCACGTCATTATCTATATCAGAGATCGAAGCTGACATAGTTGCCAAAGTATAAAAAAATCCTGACTCCATTTTAAATCAAATAGATCACAGAATTATTGCAAAAGTATTACCATCTCTTTACAACGACTATTTAAATTCTTACGTGACATTTTTGAAATAAAATACACTAATTTTGTTCTAAAAAGAACAGATTTTAATAAATAGATAAACAAATAAAACAAGAAGTATTCACTTTAAAATTCAAAATAATAAAGTACAAAAAGTGTCAACACCGCAACTATCAAATAAGTGTTACCAATTTATACCAAAATTGGTAAATGACACCTTTAATGTCCATAAAAAAGTGAAACAAATGACAGGTAGACATAGAAAGAGACAAGAAACAATAATATTAAGAAATAATAATAACGAGATAATTGTAGATACAGAAGACAAACTGAAGAGATGGAAAAATACATTCAGACACTTGTTGAAGATGATAGACCTTGTTTTTTACCATCTTCGGATGATCGAATTAATGAAAAAGGTCCAAAAATAACAAAAGAAGAAGTTATTTATGCAGTAAAAGAAGAACGGAAAAGCTACCAGTTCAGACAATATCAATGTCGAAATACTTAAATTAATTGCAGACAATGAAAGTGAAAGCCTCGACTTAATAACAGAACCATTCAATAAGATGTATGATACAGGTAAAATACCATCAGACTGGCTAAAATCAACGTTCACAAAATTACCAAAAAAATCCAATGCCTCATACTGCGATGACTATCAAATATTAAGCATGATATCTCATGTCCATAAAACTTTTCTCAGAATCAATTATATACGAATTTACAAGAAGTGTGAGTTTCAGATTAGTGACACTCAATTCGGATTTCGAAATGGATTGGGAATACGAGAAGCTCTTTTTGTCTTAAATGTGTTAACACAACGATGCAGAGACATAAATGTAGATGCATATGCATATTTTATTAATTATCGAAAAGAATTTGACTACGTTAACCATCAAAAGATGATCGAAATTCTGAAAACAACAGGAATTGACGAACAAAACTTGCGAATTATCTTAGGACTATATTTTCACTAAACGACAATAATTGAAATAGATCACACAACATCCTAAGATATACAAATCTGACGAGGAATGCGACAAGGTTGCGTCTTATCACCACTATTATTTAATCTGTATTCGAAATATATACTCAAAAAAGCATTAGACGAGGTTCAAGGTGAAATAAAGAATAACGGAACCAGCATAGACAACATCAGGTACGCTGATGATACCATCCTAATAGCAAGCAACGCACAAGAGCTACAAAATATAATAAATGCGGTATTTCGCCTTAGCGAAATGTTCGGTTTACATTTAAATGTTTGCAAAACTAAAATTCTAGTATTTTCAAAAGATACAAACAAACGTAAATTTGTACGCCAAGGGGCAAATAATAGAACAGGTAACTTCCATAAAATATTTGAGAGCAAATATCAACAGCCAGTGTAACTCAAAAAAAGAAATACTGCCAAGAATCGAACCATACTTCGATAAGGTATGAGGTACTTCAGCGCATAAGTAGAAGAATTACTTAGCATAATCAAAGAGAGAGAAAATACAATATTTGGGTCATGTGTTGAGAGGTGAGAGATATAAATTACTCCACATCATATTGGAAGATAAAATACAGGGCAAAAGATCAGTTGGAATACCTGAGGAGATGGTTTGACCGCTCATCCAAAGAAATTTTTCGGGTAGCAGTTTTCAAAGCTACAATTACCATTTGGATCGCCAACCTTCGAAAGAAAACGGCCTAATAAGAAAAAGATTTACCGTTACCTCAAACTACTAGGGATCTGAGCTAAAGATATTTCATTTCGAATAAATTATCAGATTGGTAAAGTGTATAGTGTAAAGCAATATTGAATGCAAACTTTAAACTAGATTAGTATTCTAAAGATCAATCTACCTACATACAACTATTTAAAAATATAAGAAATTATTTAAGTTTATTGTATTACAGTCTATCAACACTTTAATTCATAAGTGTTCACCTGTTTACAAAAATAATTTTATGGGTTTTTTAAATATTTTTGTAAATTACCGCTATACTTGATCAAAACATAATATTTTATACATGAGTAAAATTACAAGTAGTTTGTATGCTAAACTATTTCTTGCAGGTAACAAACAGTGGTACCAGCCTTGATAAAAACGAGTTCGTTCTTGCTCTACCTGGAAGCGGTGTCGGAGATCACCCACAAGGTTGCCACGATCAGTGGAACGCTCCATGGATAGGCTGGGGCGATCTATACGGAGGAGTTCATATGAGATCAGAATGTTTGTCGCTCCTTCCAAAAGAACTACAAGAGGGATGTAAATTTAGATTTGATTTTATGGAAACCGCGGCAAATCCACTGGTTTCGTTCCAACAAATAGTTTGTCCTGATGAACTTGTAAAGATTAGTGGATGTAGACTTCCGAATCAATAATATTATGAACATATTATTATACTACGTAGTATGTTAGTTATCAACAATTTTAATTTGTTTTACTTGTACAAATATAATAAAATACTTTATAAAAAATGTATTCATTACATTTTAAATAAATTAATTTTCTGTTTTTAATGTTTTTTACGATTTTATTTACCCTTTTTAGTTCAAAATAACACAGCATACAAAGAATTCTCAAGCTATTGTTACGATAATTATGGCGTTTATAACTATAAATATATTACGACTAATTCTGTTTTCTGTTCCAGTAAATTTGAAGTTGTTTACAGAAACCTTTAGACCCCAATTTTATGAGTCATCCACGTCTCGAGGCTTTTCAAACAGTTGAAAAACGAGTCGAGCGGCTTCACCAAAATACGAGATTATTCGATGAAGTTCCATTATAATGTAGAAGGTCGCCGAACTTTCGAGATAACAACAGTTTTTGTATATAAACAAAAGATTTTTTATTTGGGAAGTCAGTGAAGAAAGAAGCTCGGGAACCGCGATTTTAAAATGTATCGAACGTAACATAAATGTGTAAAGTTATTTAACACGTTCGCTACCAGGGGTGTATTTAGATTTCGTCCTGCTGGACCAAACATAGATTATGACAAATTCACTAAGAAAAACCATTTCTGATTGTAGCTTACCTAATCTGAGATAAAAATATGAAATTCCTGTGGGATTTTTTGATGCGGCTCATATATGAGACGCTGGTCTATAGCATAACTGGAAATATTATAGACCATATGTCTCATATATGAGACATAAAAAAACTTACAACTTTAAATAAATTTAATTATATTTATGTCACAACAGAAATAAAATAAGGTATTCTGTTAAAAAAAGACAAAAAAAAACAGGAAACTAAAAAAAAACAAATCTGATGTGTGTTGTAAAAAAAAGCATTTACTGGTTGCCTTCGTGATACTCTTGAAAACATGGATCTACGCACAACTTAATCAATTGTCCAGATTTGTCTTTATATATCTCGCAAACAAAGAATGTCAAAGTCCTTTTCTTCTTTGAGGAACAAATCCGACACCTTCTTCGTTTTTCTGCTTTTTTGGGATAATGAGATGAAGGTTTTACCTGACTTTTCCTTGATGAAAGTGGAATTTGAAGATAGTCAAGTATCAGCTGCTCCCTGAATTCTAAGTACGTAATTTTTTTTCCTTAGAAACATTATGCAAATAGGTACCATGCCATAAGCATACATCGACAAAATGAAAAAATAATTTTAGGTACCATCTAATAGTTTTTCTGGGTGTCGTATAATATGAGAGCATTTGGTCGCTTCTATCAACACCGGACATACGTTTGTTATAGTCGACTACTACACTGGGTTTTTCTTGTTCTACTCCTCGTTTATTAGTTGTTTTTTGAGATCCAGGTCCATGCAATGTTGATATCATAAGCACATCGCGCTTGTCCTTCCACTTCAAAACCATCAAATTATTCTTTTTTCTGAAAGTGCTCTCTCCTTTGCGTAATTTGTAGTCAATTACCACTTTTGGGTTTCCTTTCTGGTTTTTTCTCAATGTTCCTACCACATGAATCTTGTTTTTATAAAGGAATTCTGCAAGTTTTACACTATTGTAATAATTATCTAAGTACAATGTAACTACAGCTTGTGCATGGCCAATCTCATTGTTCACTGTGTCCTTTCCGGTATACACTAGACACTCCAAAACAAAGCCCTTTGGGGTGCAAAGGTCATACAGCTTTATTCCATATTTCGCACTCTTATTGGGAATATATTGGCGAAATGTTAATCGTCCACGCCAAAGCAGGAAGGCTTCGTCTAAGAAGAGATCTCTTCCAGGATATAAAACTTTACGCATGTTTTCAAAATCATGGTCTGCAACTTTTTCAATTTTGTGCAAACGGGAAGTTTTTGCATCATCTTTCTTGGTAAAATACAAACACCGTAGAATCTGTTCGAATCTATTCCTCGACATGATATTTCCAAATATTGGGTGGGAATATAGTGGATTCGTAGTCTAGTAGCACTTAATGTTTGGCATTTTTATGTTTCCCATTAGCATGCATAATGCGAGAAAACGGTGGAATTCATGGGGAGTAGTTGGTTTCCATTTATTCATTGTAGAATGCTTCGGTATTACATTGCCAATAACTGACAGTGCACGTAAATTAATCCACTCGCAAAATTTTTTAAACACGTCGTCATCAAACAGTATTTCAAATATATCTTTGGGAGTACATTCTTTTGATATATCTATTTTCAAACGTTCAATTTCTGAAAAATCAAACACCTCCGGTTCATCGTCGATTTCGAGCCAGTCGCTGTCATCTTGATTATTTACTGGTGCACTGTCCATTTCAGGAACATTTTCATCAAGGTCACTAACTGCTTCATCACTGGTATGTTCCGAGTCACCAACTGGATTTTGTTCTACACTAGAACCCGATTCTGATGAAGGCTTGTAGCTACTGCCGGAATCTAAAAACATTTCAGGAATTTCATCAGGTGCTAGTATATCAGAAAGACTGTCATCATTTTCGTAGTTCATAATTCGGCCGCCTCTTCTTGAAGCTCCTTCTCTGTTAGAATAGTTCTTTTATACATTACAGCAAAACCCTAAAAAAGTTATTCTATAGCAACATTCAAAGGGGTTTTACTACATACAGTTTGTCAAACGTAGGCAAGAGTTTGAGAATCTCACACTCGTCATAACACCGCATGGCGATTGTAAGATTTTCAAACTCTTTCCTATATTTGACAAATAATATGTTACGTGTAAATATGAAATAACAATACGAAGCTTCTTACCTACGAAATCTAGTAATCGCAACAGCATATGTACAAAATCTTTATTTAGAGACTATGCGGTCCATGTATATGACGACTTTTTTAGGCTTATTACTACTATTTAGAATTGGCAATAAAACAATAAGCTGGTGTAGTATTTTATTTTAGTAAACACAGCCTTTTATGATTTTTTTTTATTGAAATAGACCAAGCACCTGAAATAAGAAATATTTTGTAAAATAACCATACTTTTCAAGTTTAGACCGACAGCGTTTTGTTTTATTTGTAGTAATAATCGTTGTATTGTAGTGGAATATTATATAGAATACCATACATAATACTAGGTAAAACAAACATACTTACATGGACTAAAAACAACAAAAAAAACACAGCACAATTTAAAGACAATGTTGCACGCGTGCTCGCTAAATTTCTACTAAACGGTATTAGCTGCACACAGACCATCTGACTCATATATGCGCCTAACTTTTCTATAGACCACATCCAAAACGAAATACGCTATCTGCGAACGTAACTATTTTATTCGACATTTCGAGCGGTGGGATCTCCGGCTCAAATGTGTGACGCTGGTCTGTGCGAGAAATCCATGTGGCTCATATATGAGCCGCTTGGTAGCGAATGTGTTAATAAATTAGTAATTAGTTATCGTGAGTTTTAATAAATTAGAATATAGAAAATAAATTAGAATAAAGAACTATAAATTAGAACTATATAAATATACTACACTATTTTATAAGGTAACAACGAATTCCTAAAGTTCGGTCTAAATCGGTATTTAGTTCGCAGTCCATGAAAGTCATGTTGGTAACTCTTGGTAAATCTGAAGTGGCCGATCGTTAACTTGTATAAAATCAGTGAAAATTAAATCTTAAAATATTTTTATATTAACATTTTATCAATTTTTCTCTTGATTGCCTTGTTATTTTTGAGGGAATTCGAATGACTTCAGATGTTTTTCAATCGCACTTGAATTAAGTTTTTTTTGGTACCACAGGAATCTGTATCACGTTCCTGAAGCTGCTTATGCTTCCGGTGTATGGTGATATATTTTATAAGCATCGTCGACAAGCGAATTTTTAGTTTTTTATATCAAAGTGCTAAATAGTCTGAACTATACAGCTCTAAAACCAAACAACAAATAATGCTAACGATTATTCGCAAATGTTTTATGATCTCGATTACACTTCATAAATTCAATATCTTTACTATTAAATTTTCTGCTACAATTATTTTTTTTATAAAAATAAAAAGGATTTATCCAGCTTCTTTTTCTTTAAGTTCCATCTTCTATAGAATGTTAGAAATCACCATGGCTATGCAGACCCCGTTGACTGCCGCTCTAAATAGTTCTGCGCTCAAACCATTCCTTTAAGTTGTTAAGCCACGATATTCTTCGTCTTACCACATTTCACTTTCCTTGAATTTTGTTTTGCATAATAAGCCTTAATAATGAGTATCTTTGCTCTTTCTTGACATGGCCCAAGACTCAAGCTTTCTTCTTTTGATAGTCAATATTATTTCAGCTTCATTTCCTATTCTTCTAGTAACTTCTGCGTTTGACATTCTTTGATTCCATGATATTCGTAGGATTCTTCTGTATCTCTAAAATTCAAAGGCGTGAACTTATTCAGATGCACTTTTTTTAATGTTCATGCTTCCAAGTTATAAAGAAGAGTAGTGAATACGTTGGGTGTAGAGTTGTGTTATAGAGGTAGTACCTTTTATTGGAACGACCTCATCGAGCGTCATAGACGGGAGATGGTTCTAGATAACTTGTCCTCATAAGACACATAACTCTCACTTATAGCTCCACGTGTCACACCCCAGGCAATTGCATTAGTCTGCAGGCTTAACTAAGTGAGGGTAGCCAGATATGGCGAAAATTTCACCGACTGATTACCGAGTGATTCCCTAATAAAGGGCAGCAGCAATCATCAGTACTAGCTCAAGGCGAGGTGGAAATGATCCTGGATCGGATTGAAACTGGACTACCACAAGCATGACTGGAGCAGTTTGATTGGTTGTGGTACTGCGATGGGAAAGGCAACGGAAAACCACCCCATAAGAATTTTTTAGAATAGTTA